AGCTCAAGAGGAAGCATTACAGGCTGTGGCTCAAACCAAAGTTTACCCAGCACTTTGAATTCCAAATACCTCCATTGTTTGTTCACTTTTTTTCCTGCAGCCATTGTTCCTTCCCTTTTTTTCCCCTACAGCTGTAGTAAAATGTTAAGGACTACCAAGGAGTGTCACAGCTGGGGCAGAGGCAGAACGCCCCAGCACCACACCAGAGCCTGCCCAGTTCCACCAGCACAGCCCTGGAGCACAGACCCCTGTCACTTGGCTGCAGTCAGCTGGCACCAGTCCCTGGAACCATGGCTGGGCACAGCTCACCCCTGGGCTCAGAGCAGCCTAGCACTTGGATCTCTTGTCAAGAGAACACGATGTGGGCAGCTTTCTAAGACCCCCGGCTGAAATCTTCCCACCCAGGATCGCAATCCCTGGCCACACAGTGACCCCTGATGCCCCCACGCTTTCCTGGCCAGCTCCTGCCTGTGGGAGCGCAGGCTCTGGAGCAGCATGGAGCCCACCACCCACCTTGTCCATGTGGAAGATGAGGTCCAGCTCACAGACATTCTCAAAGCATTTGTCCAGTGTCTCCACAAACACCTGGGGCAGCAGAAAGGACAGTCAGCACAGAGACCAGGCAAGATGGTCACACAGTCCCATGGAACGCTCCAGGCATGGGGCAGAGCAGCAGGAAAGATGGAAAAGGCCCTGGGGCTGCTGGTGACAGAAGCTGAACATGAGCCCAAGTGTGCCCAGGTGGGCAAGGAGGCCAATGGCCCCTGGGCTATGCCAGCACTGCTGTGGCAGCAGGGCCAGGGCAGTGCCCGTCCCTGTGCTGGCACTGCTGAGACCTCGAGGGTTGTGTCCAGTTCTGGGCCCCTCACACAAGAGACACATTGAGGGGCTGGAGCTTGTCCAGGGAAGGGAACAGAGCTGGGGAAGGGGCTGGAGCACCAGGAGCAGCTGAGGGAGCTGGGGAGGCTCAGCCTGGAGAAAAGGAGGCTCAGGGGGGATCTTCTCCTCATGTCCTGGTGTTTAAAGGGTGGCTAAAAAGCTGGAAACTCCCTTCATACAAGGAGTCATATGGAAAGTCACAGGGTGATGGATACAAGTTCCTCTTGGGGAGATTCCAGTTAGACACAAAAGGAAAATTTTTCCCAAACAAAACACTCAGCCATCGGAATAATCTTACAGAGGAAGTAATTGGATTCCCCGACGCTGGACACCTTCAGGTGCATCTGGCCAAGGTGCTGGGCCTTGTCTAGGCCGTGCTTTGAACTGAAAGGTTGGACCAGACAACCCCTGAGGTCCCTGCCAACCTGGGATTCTATGATTCTAGGATTAACTTTTGGACTTGATGCTCTTAAGGGTCTTTTCCACCCTGAAATGATTCTATGGTTCTATTTTTTAAAGCTGCTCATTTGGGTTGGCTTCTCCCCCTCTGCCCGTGGCGGAGCAGCCACGAATGAGCTCAGAGGGCAGGTGCAGCCCCCCCTTCCCCCTGCGGCCCCCGAGTGGCTCTTCAGGCCTCCCAGGGCTGGCACAGGGATGCCACGGGCACGAAATGCACCTGAAGGGTGTCAGGGCGGGGCTGTGCCCAGGGATGGGACCCTGCAGGGACACACCTGGATGAGGTCCAGGATGCCCAGCTCGCTCTCCGAGGAGTCCACGCAGAAAACGAAGTACAGCGTGGCATAGTGCCGGTAGATCAGTTTGTAGTCCGAGCCGCCGAACAGGCTGTGGGGACACGGGGAGAGCTGAAGGGCTCTGGGGGGGCCATCTGGGCGAGGCACAGCCCGGCACAGCCCCTCCCCGGCCGGTACCTGCCGCACTCGAGGAAGTTGCAGATGTGGTCATCCCGCTTCAGCACCAGGTGGAAGGTGTCGCGGATGATCTGCTGCTGGGCCTCCTCCGCCTGCCGGCAGGACACAGCCGAAGGCTCCCGTGGGGACACGTCCCACCCGTGGGACCCGCGACCCCCGCTGCCCCTGGGACACCGTGAGCCGGCGGCTCCGGGCGACAGGCCGGTCCCGGAGCCAGGCCGGGGCATCCCGAAGGACGCGGCCAGGACACCGGCAGGGCTCCGCCACCCCGCAGCGACCGCCCCGGCTCCCGGCCCCCCCCCAGCCCCACCGAGCCCCACCACACCTCCAGCCCCGCACCGACCCCGGCCCCGCACCAGGTGTTGGTAGAAGCGGACGAGCCGCGGCTTCCCGTGGTTGTTGAACACCAGGATGGCGTTGATCATCCCGGCGGCGAGTGGGGCCGGGCCGGCAGGAGGCCCGGGAGCAGCACCGGGAGCAGTCCCGGGGCCGCGGCCGCCCCGCAGGAAGCCCCTCGCCCGCCCCGGAAGCGCGGCGGCGGCGGCGCTGCGGCCCGGCCCGGTGGGCTGAGCCCCGCGGGGACCCTGCGAAGCCGCCGGGGCTCGGGGCCGGCCCGGGGTGCGGGGTCGGGCCCGGGGGGATGCTCAGAGTCGCTCCTGGGCGGGGGCTCCCCGGGACGGCGCGGCTGCACCGGGGCCTGCCGCCGGGTGGGACAGGCGGTTCCTCGCGGCCCGCGGCGGGGCAGGATGGGCAGGTTTGGAGCCGGGATGCGGCCGCTGCTGCCCGCGGCGGGACCACCGGGACCACCGGGACAGCCGGGACCACCGGGACCGCCAGGACGCGCCGCCAGGGGGCGCACCAGTCCCACCGCCACCTGAGCGGCGCCGGGGGCGGGGCTTGGCGTTAGGCCACGCCCCCGCTTAAAGGCCCAGCAGCCCTGCCTGCACAGAGGGGGCGTGCCCGGGGCACCGGCGGGGGCAGAGCTCACCGGCCCCTGCCCGGTCCCGCTCGGGTCCGGCGCGGGCATACACCGGCCAGAGCCCGCACTAACGTCCCCTGTGCTGGGGAGTATGAGAAAAGGGCGGGACAATCTCTCACGGCACCGGGGGCTGCCCACGGGCCCTGACCCACGGGGGCACGGACACGGCTTCGCGGAACCGGCACGGGGAGGGAGAGAGCCAGGGACAGCGCGGGCAGGGAGAGACAGGTCAGTGCGCGCCCCGGTGGGCGCGGGCGAACCGGGAGAGGGACCGGGAAGGGCCGCGGAGCGAGCGGGGCAGCGCTCCGCGCGTCCTGATTGGCTGGGGCCGCTCAGCCTCCAACCTCCGCGATCTGATTGGCTGAGGCAGCTGGACCCGCAATCTGATTGGCTGAGGAGTATGGAGCATTCTGAATCCGCTCTCTGATTGGCTGGGGCGGACGCGCAGCTGCTCCCTGACAGCCGGCGGGGCCGGGGCCGGTCCGGCCGAGCCCGAGACCCAGTCCCTGAGCCCCGAGCCCTGAGCCACGGGCCCCGAGCCACGGGCCCCGAGCCCTGATCTCTGAGCCCCGGTCCCTGAGCCCCGACTGGGCTCCTGCTCCGCCCGCTCCCCGCCTGGCTCTGCCCGCGCCCGCTCCGTGTCCCACCCTGTGCCCTGCCCTGTGCCCTGCTCCATGCCCCGATCTCTGTCCTGCTCCATGTCCCGCTCCGTGCCCGCCAGGCGCCGGGTCCGGGTGCACCCCCGGCTGAGGCCCCCGCGGGAATTCAGAGGAGCGAATCTCCCTGTGCCGCGTCTCTTCCCATCCGTATTTGCATATATTTACGCAGGCAGAGCCGTTCTCGGGCCACGCGGGGCGAGGCCGGGCTGGGAACTTGGGCAGGGAAGTGGCGGTTTGGGGACCGGTGACGCCGGCGGGTCCGGGCTCCGAAAGGCCCCGGCAGGGACGTGAAGGGGTGCTGGGCATCCCCCCCGCCAGGCGCGGGGGATGTGAGCACCGGCAGCGGGGACGGAGCGGGGAGCTCGGTTTTCACCGAGACTACAAAAAATCAGAAAAGCAGAAGTGCGCCCAGACAAAGGGCTGCGTGTGGAGACAAACTCTGCTGCGATTAGTCTGGCCGGCGCCACCTGCTTCCATGGAGATGAGAACCTCCCGACGCACCAGTCGAATCCCGGCTGCCTCCGCGTGCTCCTTCCTCCATGGGGAGGAGACCTTCCTCCTCCTCTTCCTCCTCCTCCTCCTCCTCCTCCTCCTTCTCACCATAGGAGCCGGCGCCTGCAGCCCGCAGACCCTTGGCCGTTGCCACCCACTCTCCTTCCTACGCCACATCCCATCCCTCCCTTTGGGGACCGGCTGCCTGCTGCTATCACATCCCCACGGCCATGTAGGTCAACATCTCCCTCCACCTTCGTGGGGGAACCAACAGGACAACCAATTCTTGGATCACCAGCTTCCTTTCCCACACCACATCCCGTCCCCTTCCCTCCCTTTGGAGACTGGTCATCTCCTGTCACCCCACCTCTGCAGACCCCGGCCTCTCCCTCCACCTCCTTGTGGGGGTGAACAGCACCCCCCCCCAAAACCCTGCAATTCCTGTAACATCCCCAATTCCATTAATCCCATTTTTGGAGGGAAGGAGGTCCTTACCATCAACCCTACAAGCTTTTTGGGGTGTACATGATCTTTCCCACCATCACAGCAAAGGAGAGCGATGCCCAACCAGGATAGGAGTCCCTTGGGAAGGGCGTTCCCTGCTCCCGCTATCACTCTATGGGTGAAAACCTCCCAAAAAGAAAAGAAGGGGGAAGTAGAAAATGATCCCTGGGGTGCTGGAGGGGTTAGGGTTAGGGCATGGGGGTCCCCATCGACCACCCCCACCACCGTTCCCCCTGGCTTTGTCCCCCCAAACTGGTACCGAGGGCGGCCCCGGCTCCGGTGGAGGATGCTGCTGCACGGGGGGGCGTTCGCGGTGGTCGGGCAAGTTGAGGAGGGGGAGGAAGATGAAGGGCGGGCGAGTTAGGAGGAGCTGCTTTGCATCCCTTCACGTCAGCCCTGCCTCATTCCCTCCTTCTTCCTTCCTGCGCACCCAGCGCCGGGCCCGGAGCCGCCGCCGCCGCCGCCGCCCCGTGGAGCCGCCGGTGAGTCTTCACCGGACCACCCCGTGGCCCTTAAACTCCCCTAACGAGGGGGACAACAGCGGGGGTACAACAGCGGGGACACCGGGATGTGGCCGCCTTCCTCCCCCGCGCGACGGAGACGAGAGCGATGGCGGCGGGAGGTACCGGGAGGAGCGGGGAGGACGAGGGGGTTCCTCGCTCCGCGCGTGGGGCCGCCCCTCCACATGAAAGCCCCCCCCGAGAACTTTCCCCGTGGCTGCTCGCAAACTTTCTCCTCCGGGAAAGTTGCGGGGAGGGCGCGGAGGGGGGGCCTGACCTGTTGCGGGAGGGGGTGAGCAGCGCGGTGGGGACCTCGCGGCGGAATCGCGCGTGGGAGAGATGCTCGGGGGGTCGGGGTCGGGCAGCACCCTGGGGTTTGGGGGGTCAGGGCGGCAGCCGGGTGGTCCCCGCGGGCCGCGCCCGAAGTTTGGGGACAGTTTCACGGACTAGCCAGCGGTGGGGGGCCCGAGAAGGGCCTCCCGTGTTCACAGAGGCAAAGTGCCCCGCAGGGGTGAAGTGCAGTCCCATACCAGGCAGGTCCCGCTTCACCTCCCTCCCTGGAGCGCCCCAGGATTTCCCAGTGTGGGACCCCCCGATGCTCCGTGGGAGCTGCGTGGGGGCTGGGGGGCTTTGTGTGCTGTGCCCTGGCGAGGGACCGCAGGGAGCTGCCTGCAAGCCCTCTGGTCATCAACCGAGTGCGGCAGATAAATTAGTTATAATTAATTAATCCATCAAGCATTAGGAGTTTCCTTGTGACCCGCCATGTAGGCAGAGGAGGGGGGTGATGGGAGGGGATGGGAGCAGTCCAAGCCTGACCCGCATCGGGACAGGGAGCCTGACCCCCCTCCCCCAGCTACAGAGCCTCCCTGGGTCCAGGGCCTGAAGCCTCCCCCCAGGTCCAAAGCCAGCAGCTCTGTCAGCCTCAAACATCCCACAATGTGCTCCTGCACCCCAGACCGGGCTCGCTCACCCCACACTGTGCTCCCGCACCCCACACCATGATCCTGCACCCCACACCACAGCTCCACTCCCCACACCATGTTCCCAGCCTCGCCTCGGCTGCTCCTGTATCCCAGGTTTGAACCGGCCCTGCCAAGCCGTGGATCCGAGCGGCTCCTGCATGGTGCAGCTGGATCGTGTGGGCGATCAGGGCCAGCCACAGGACTGAACAAACACAGCTTGGTTTGGAGGGACAGTCCAAGCACAGTTCTCCCCGGGGACCCCCAAGAGTTACAGGGGGGAACTGGCCTCAGCATTCCCTCCGGAGCCCCAGGGGATGCCCAACCTCTGGCTGGCCATGGAGAACAGCAGCTGGGGCAGCACTGGCTGGGCTGTTACCATCCCCTGCTCCCACCCCAGGTGACAGTGTCCTCACTGCAGCAGCAGCTGTGGAGCCAGTCACATCCCCCTCAGCTGGGCCCAGCTCCTCTTCTGCGAGCAGCCTTCCTTCCATCAGTGCCCTCTTTATGGGTCACACTGTATTTCTCCAAGATGAGAAACGGGAGCTGAAGCTCTGCTACACCCCAGGACACATTCCCACCCAAACTTGGGGGGTGACTCGGAGGGTTGGACGTGGGGCTCTGCAGCAGCAGGAGTGGAACATCTCCTGTGGTGCTGGGTCACGGCTCATCATGCTGACATTTTGGGTTTGGTTTAATCCCTGAGAAAGGGTTTATTTCAGATGGTTTTATTGGGCTGTTTTAATTTTTCAACCAGTTTGGAAATCATGGTGTGGAGAGGGATGAGCACAGGCCCTGTCCTGCTCTGCTCCACATCTGAGAATGATGAGGAATCGGCGAAGTAGTGGGTTTGTCTGCCAGGAACATGCCAGCGTCACATCCTATGGGAGAGGGGCTGCCTGCACTCCTTTATTTTAGTTATTCCTTGTGGAGAAGTCAGGTCCAGCTCAGCCTCTCCCAGAGCCCTGTCTCTGGGCACATCCCTGGGGTCTGCCAGGCCAGGGCCAGTGAGGGGATGACAGGGAGCCAAGTGCTGCCCTGACAGGTTGGGGGCTTCCTGCCAAATTTTTTGCCACTGCTGCCTCTTCCCTCCGCCATCCACTCCCAGCTTTAGTTTCCCAAGCCCCATCACATCCCTGACCTGCAGAGCTCACCTGCCCAGGCACAGGTGGCAGCATCTGGAATGGCCCAAACACCTGCTCAGGGCACACGTGCCATGGAGGTGGCACAGTGGGGCAGGAAGAACGCTGCGGGATGGCTGGGATGGGGTGTGCTGGGAGGACTGGAAGAACGCTGTGGGATGGCTGGGATGGGGTGTGCTGGGAGGACTGGAAGAACGCTGTGGGATGGCTGGGATGGGGTGTGCTGGGAGGACTGGAAGAACGCTGCGGGATGGCTGGGATGGGATGTGCTGGGAGGACTGGAAGAACGCTGCGGGATGGCTGGGATGGGATGTGCTGGGAGGACTGGAAGAACACTGCAGGATGGCTGGGATGGGGTGTGCTGGGAGGACTGGAAGAACGCTGTGGGATGGCTGGGATGGGATGTGCCAGCAGTGCCGCAGTCCCATCCTTTTTGCTGCCTATGACCAGAGCCCTCTGGATGAGTCATGGTCCCTGCTAAGCTCTTCTTGCAGGGCTTGACCTTGGGGACAGGGACTGTGATCGGTGACAAATGTTTTCCCTTTGTCCCTCTGTCCCACATTTTCCTTCTCATCCCTGTGAACACCTTCCTTCTCTCACTCCCTTGTCCTGGCAAGCAGCTGTGGGTGCAGTGGGGTGGGGTGGGAGAGGCTCCGGCACAGCCCCTGCCTAGCATAGCTTTCCCTAAATCCCAGCTTCTATCCAAAGCAAGTGAAATGTGAGATGTCAGCCTGGAAGGAGGTGCTCCTGCTGGGGTGAGCCATGGAGGAGGGTCTGTATTTCTTTTTTTGGGGGGTCTGTATTTTGACACCAGGGAGGCTGCCACTCCACTCACCCAGCTTCGACAGAGGAACAGGGCTCTCCTCACTGAGAGAACAAGCAGTCATGAACTTTCTTTCCAAAACTTTAAATTAAGGGAGAGAAACATAATTTTTACTTTTCCTGACCTTCCGTCATAGCTGTCCCTCTGTCATTTGAATGACAGTCAAGTGTTTCTACCACAAATTAACAGGAACAACATGTCAGCACCTGCATGAAACTAGTGGTGAAGCAGGTGGCTCCACAGGGTCCCTGTGCTGTCACCTCCTGGTTCTCGGAGTGTGTGGTCAATGTTCCCTGCAAAATGTCGCAGTTTTTAGTAAAGAAGTGCCCAAGTGTTCTGTTGTACAGGGCAAAGATAAACTTGAAGAAAGTTCGCAAGAATCTTCTCCAGATTGGATCCGAGGATAGCCCAGGGATGACGGGGGTGCTGGGGAGCACCATGGCTGTGCAGAGCAGGGAGCTGTGGCAGGACAAGGTACCTCTTGCAGCCCCTGAGCTTTAAGACCAGGTTGGCCATCCAACCTGGCCTTGAACACTTCCAGAAATGAGGCAACCACAGTTTCTCTGGGTAACCTGTGCCAAGGCCTCCCCACCCACATGGAGAAGAATTCCTTCCCACTATCCCATCTATCCCTGCCCTCTGGCAGTGGGAAGACATTCCCCCTTGTCCTGTCCCTCCAGGCCCTTGTCCAAAGTCTCTCTCCAGCTCTCCTGGAGCCCCTTTAGGCACTGGAAGGGGCTCTCAGGTCTCCCTGGAGCCTTCTCTTCTCCAGACACCAACACAGCCTTGGTCTTGGCAGAGGGCAAACCCAGCCAGGCCATTCTGGGCGATGTCTCGCCACGTCCATTCGGGAAGAGCAGGCTGGGAGGAGGAAGCAGCACACGGACGTGCTCATTGTTTTATTTCCACATCTCATCCAGGGGGACCTGTGTTCCTGCCTATGCACTGTGCACCCCGACACACTGTGCTGGGCAGCGTGGGAGCTGCGGCCGGGAACGGGAATTTCCTGGGGGTTGCAGGTGGGAGCCGCGAACGGCGCCGGGATGGGATGGTGAGGGGGCTGCTTCTGCTTTTTCCGGAGTCTTTGCTGTACAGATGGTCCCATGGCAGGGCTGTGGTTCCTCTCTGGCCAGCAGAGCCCTGCCAGGCTGGAGCCCGTGTCCTGCCTGTGCTGGTGGGTGGCCCGGTGAGGGAGAGGAGGGGGAGGAAGGACAGGCAGAGCCGCCGGAGGAAGAGCATTCACCGCTGCCTCTAAATTTATCTTTCCTGTTTCTCGGCAGCAGCATTGTCTCATACCCATTCTCTGTGGGGTCAGGCCATTCTCCCCTCTCTGCCTCTCTTCTGACATCCCGTCCCTCGCCATGTTATCCCAGTTTAACCAGCTCTGTCCCTCCCCTGCTTTTGCTTTCATGTGTTTAACTCTGACATACTCCCTGGCTGGTGTTCCCTTCCCTCACCTCCAGTCTGTTCTCACACCCACCATCCTGGGGCCCTCCCCACAACCCTGCACAGCAGCCCCTGGCTGTGGGGGGTTAAACTGGGAGTTGGGGGTGTCTCGGTGCCTGTGGGCTCAGGGAATCCAGGAATCCTGGGAATCCAGGAGCAAGCTGGAGAATGGGTTGTGAGGTTTCCCTTGATGAACCCTTTGTCCAACCCATGTTGGGCTACTCTCAGGGGAGAACTTCTCTCTCCCCTTGGAACCATGGAATCGTTTTGGTTGGAAAGGACCTTTGAAATCACAGAATTCCCAGGGTAGCCCAGCCCTGCTCGTCCCAACCTTCCTGGGAGATACTGCACATGGCTGGGCAGATCAGGGACATCCTGGACCAGCCAGACAGATCAGGGGTGCCCAGGACTGACCTGGCTGGTGGCTGCTGTTGGGAAGAGTTGTTGCAGTAAGGATGAATTTTCCCAGGAGCTGCTCCCCTTCCCAGCCAATCCACAAGGATTGTGAGGCTTTCTCTCCTCACAGAGGATTTTCCACTCTCAAGTCCTGACCCCTCTGCCATCTGGGCACTGTAAACTCCCAACTCAAACCCCTTCCTACTCCTTGCCAATCCAGTCTTTGTTCATTTATTGAGCTGGCTGTGCCATTCCTGCCCTCCTGGCTCTGCCCTTGGCTTCTCTCCAGAGCCATCAGTTTGTCATCGCCATGACCATTCTGTGCTCACTGTGCACAAAATCACCAGCCCCACAAGTGTTCAAAAGCTGTGTGGATGTGGCACTTTGGGGATGTGGGTTAGTGGTGGCCTTGGCAGTGCTGGGGAACAGTTGGACTCAATGGTCTTAGAGGACTTTTCCAACCTTAATGATTCCATGATTCCAGCCCTGCCTCATGTGTCCCCATAGCTTGGGGGACACCAGCTCA